ATGGATCATTTGCATGCTATTACCAGCAAGTGTTCAGACACTGACTCTTTACTCTCTATTACTCTGCCTCAGTGATGAAACTGCTCGCATCATACTTGTATTTTTACTCTACGGATACACATACATATTATCCTACAATGCTGCCTTAAAATAAATAAAATATTAAAAAGCTAAGCATAACTAAGAACTGCTGGGGAACAGGAGGGATTTTAATCTGAAAATTCCAAGAACGTTTCTGAGCATTTTGGTTTGAAGCCAAATGGAAAAGGGCAATTTTCCAGCTCTTTTGCAGACAAAATAGTGCAAGAAACCCATCAGCTGGGACTCTGCTGTAGATGCCTCGTCTTTACGTATTTTACTGAGAAAAGCAACACCTGCAGATCCTTTAGGAAGTCCTCCACTATTCAGGATGCTCGTGTTTTTAGCGACTGACACCACCTTAAACCTGGAGGGGAAACGGCAGGAAATGTGCAAGATCAGCTGAGCGTGGGGTTTGTGTGGCCTCCAGAACAACTGCCAGCCCATAAGTCATGGCTGGGGAGGCAGAAGCTACCGCTCCATTTATCTCCATAAGAAGGGACGTTTGTGGAACAACCGCTTCTCCCCTCTAAATAAATCTGTTTGCACGTTTCACCTTAAGGAAACATCCTAAATCTAATCACCCGTCCGAGACAAAGACTTTCCAAAGAGCACCAGGTCAGGAGACACCCAGAATAAATCCAGCTCCCAGAAAGTTCTGGTACCTACTAAGAGATAATGAAAGTCAAGCCGTTCCCATGGAGTCTGACTGGACTATCCCAATCCCTTTATGAAAATACTGGCTGTAAATAGCTTTATCCTGAAGGCATTAACGATGTTTCTATATCCTTAAAGTGCTGGGGTATGTACTGCAGCAATAGGAATGCAATTAATGCTTTTGAAACATGGATTTGTCAAGCTTTGTTCCCCCTGTCAGGTTGCAACAGAATTCTGCCTTCACTATAGCAAGAAATGAAAAAAAAAAAAAATACTAACAGCAAAGTGAACTCCCCTCTGTAGGGCAAAATTAATTAAAATGAAAGGAAAAAAAAAGGGCAAAACAAATCCTATGGCTATTTCAAAATGCAAAAGTCCCTGGAGGAACACGCTTTCCTGTAACAGTGAAGGAATTTTGTGTTGGAAAAAGGATGAAATCATACAGGGGAGCCGTGGTATGAAAACATCCAATAGATATTCATACACAGTCAAAAGTAGCCACAGATCCAAAAAGATACGAAAGAATCAAACAGAGGAAGTAAAATTCAACAAGACGATGAATAAAGAATTGGAGGGGGGGAACCTTTAACAGGAAAGTAAAAAACAGAGTATTTTTCTTTCCTTTTTTTTTTTTTTTAATAAAAAAGTAAAGCCTGAGCTAAAACCCCTGAAGATTGCAAGACAAGCTTCAAAAAAAAGAAACTTCTTGACTTCCAGCCAGCATTTACACAGCAAACACATTCACTTTCACATTTTTTTCTCTGAAAACCAACTTGGTGACAGAAAAAAAATAGAGCTAAGCTCAGTATCCACGCATCTAAGCAACAGATGTGGCCCCAAAGAGTCGGAGGAGCCATTTATTTATTAAGAGTGACTCACAGCCGTTGGCGAAGGAGGGACACGGGGGCATTGCTGCGCTACAAGGCTTGTGAATCACGCTCCCAAGTTGGATGGCACACAGGGAATTTCAATTAGTTGGTTTGTAAACTCTTATTTTGTAACATACAGCTTTGTGTTCCTCTGTTTAATGCGTTTTTTCAAGGACTTTAGTGAAAAGCATGCAGATCGCAAAATAAGTGGGCATACACGTTTTTTTCAATAGTAGGAAATTCTTCCATTTTCTTCTCTAGGGTTGGGCATCCTCTTGCAACCCTCTGCTGGTCCCTACACCAGAGTAACTGGTTAAACCCATGGGAGCTGCTGAGCCCATTAATTCCTACTCATCTCTGGTCCGCAGCGCCCAAACTTTCTTATCACCCCAGACAGAAAAAGGCTGAGTCACGGGCATCTCTTTCCTAAGGCTATTTTTCAGTGGAAATCTGGATTTTTTTTTCAGATTTTAAAAAAATAATACAGAATTACTTATCTGAATGTCTAGTGCTATCAAATAGTGAGAGGAATAAGGTGGTGTTTACTATATACACATTTGAACCCCAATGTACCCAAAATAAAGCGAAGAATTCAATGCTTCTGCAAACACCGCATTCTCTGCTTCCTTCTCAAGGCAAGTGGGCTCACAAAGAGAGAATCAGAGCCAAATCTAGGCCCAAAATCACTTTCTTTTCAACAATGAACCTTGCAAAAGACTCACTTTAATGCCCATTTTCCAATCAGGGGAAGCTCAGGTTTGTGGTAGGCAGAATCATAGAATGATTTGGATTGGAAGGGTCAGTTTTCTGGGGCTTATCAGTAAACGCTAACAACGGCGACCTGGAGCGCTGTATCACGGGCAAGGTTGGGTCACTGAACGTGATGGTATCCTTTCCACCTGAAACACAGCGTTAGAACCATTCATTCACCAATTACATCCATTGTGCACTAACGAGATTCAAACACATCCTACAATTTTTTCTTTTTTTTTTTTTTTTTGAAAATGAACGATGCTACCAGTTTCACCATTTCAAAAATTAAATATGCACTTCCTTGAGATTTAGCTTTCCCATAGTTCAGCCACGCACTGCTCAAAAAACAGATGACAAATACGTCACCTGACAAAAAAAAAAAGTATATAGAAGAGGAAAAGCATCTCAAATGATCCTTCTGCAGCACGGAAAAAAATACTCTGTACTGGAGCTGGAATATGCAAGTGAAATACAGCAAAGACGTATGTTTTTACCCGCAGTACTGAGTAAAGGACAGATTTTTAAAGAAGACCAGGTGCTGCGTGCAGCAAATTGTATTAGCAATTAGCATTCAATTCAGAATATTAATAATCGGACCATACAAAAAATTTTTACAAAGAGTAATGGATCATTTGCATGCTATTACCAGCAAGTGTTCAGACACTGACTCTTTACTCTCTATTACTCTGCCTCAGTGATGAAACTGCTCGCATCATACTTGTATTTTTACTCTACGGATACACATACATATTATCCTACAATGCTGCCTTAAAATAAATAAAATATTAAAAAGCTAAGCATAACTAAGAACTGCTGGGGAACAGGAGGGATTTTAATCTGAAAATTCCAAGAATGTTTCTGAGCATTTTGGTTTGAAGCCAAATGGAAAAGGGCAATTTTCCAGCTCTTTTGCAGACAAAATAGTGCAAGAAACCCATCAGCTGGGACTCTGCTGTAGATGCCTCGTCTTTACGTATTTTACTGAGAAAAGCAACACCTGCAGATCCTTTAGGAAGTCCTCCACTACTCAGGATGCTCGTGTTTTTAGTGACTGACACCACCTTAAACCTGGAGGGGAAACGGCAGGAAATGTGCAAGATCAGCTGAGCGTGGGGTTTGTGTGGCCTCCAGAACAACTGCCAGCCCATAAGTCATGGCTGGGGAGGCAGAAGCTACCGCTCCATTTATCTCCATAAGAAGGGACGTTTGTGGAACAACCGCTTCTCCCCTCTAAATAAATCTGTTTGCACGTTTCACCTTAAGGAAACATCCTAAATCTAATCACCCGTCCGAGACAAAGACTTTCCAAAGAGCACCAGGTCAGGAGACACCCAGAATAAATCCAGCTCCCAGAAAGTTCTGGTACCTACTAAGAGATAATGAAAGTCAAGCCGTTCCCATGGAGTCTGACTGGACTATCCCAATCCCTTTATGAAAATACTGGCTGTAAATAGCTTTATCCTGAAGGCATTAACGATGTTTCTATATCCTTGAAGTGCTGGGGTATGTACTGCAGCAATAGGAATGCAATTAATGCTTTTGAAACATGGATTTGTCAAGCTTTGTTCCCCCTGTCAGGTTGCAACAGAATTCTGCCTTCACTATAGCAAGAAATGAAAAAAAAAAAAAAAAAATTACGGAAGAGGAAAAGCATCTCAAATGATCCTTCTGCAGCACGGAAAAAAATACTCTGTACTGGAGCTGGAATATGCAAGTGAAATACAGCAAAGACGTATGTTTTTACCCGCAGTACTGAGTAAAGGACAGATTTTTAAAGAAGACCAGGTGCTGCGTGCAGCAAATTGTATTAGCAATTAGCATTCAATTCAGAATATTAATAATCGGACCATACAAAAAATTTTTACAAAGAGTAATGGATCATTTGCATGCTATTACCAGCAAGTGTTCAGACACTAAAAAAAAAAAGTATATATCAGAACTGGTCAAGCTCTTTCTTCAATAGGATAAAGTTTATTAAGCTCATTTATTAACACCATTTAGAAGATATTAATATCACGGTGACAGCGGATGTTATAAATGTTATATGGACAATGATGCCTAAGCAGGAACATTAACTTCAGATTAAAACCCTGCAATTTATGTGTTTCTTTCAGTGCTAGACTGAACATCGGCTTTCATCTGTGTATTTTTTCTGACGAAAAAATGTTCAACACAAGTATCTTTTTTTTTTTCTCTGGCCTTAAGTCTGACTAGCAGAGATCCTCTCCATGCTCTGCCCCTCACCCGAGCTTTCATCTGGTATTTCTTCCGACGAAAAAACGTTCAACTCAAACAAATATCTTTTTTTTTTTTCCTCTGGCCTTAAGTCTGACTAGCTGAGATCCTCTCCATGCTCTGCCCCTCACCCGAGCCAAGATTCAGCTGCAGAGTCCGCTGTGGTAGTTCCCACACTATTTGGTACATGCTGCTGTTTTATGGAGCGGAAGCTTTCCGTGCTCTGAGAAGAAAATTGGTGACCTACCAGGTGTAGCAAGGCTTTTTCTGGCCACCTTGGGACCAGAGTGCACTTGGAAACAAAAGTGCACTCTTTATTTAAAGGGAAAAAGCAAATCAACAAACCTCAGGGCTCAAAAGAACTCACAATCCAGTGTAAAATTCCTTTACAGCTCTATAAGACCATCCTTTCTTACTATTTTCCCTAATTTAAAGGAATTGTCTGGTAGAGCAGTTTCTGTTTCTCTTGTGGTCATCTAACTTGACCGAGCATCTTAATCTGTGAGGCATAAAAATGTTCAGGTAACATTGCCATTTATTTACATGCAGTGACAATATTTAACGTACTGCTAAAATCAGTTACTAAAAATATACGTCAAGCAGAACCTACTCCCAAATCCCACTGAGACATTGTAGCTCAGGCCTTCAGGCAGCAAAAGAAAGGAAGGAAAGAGACAGTTGTTATTGTACAAACATTAATTTGAAGTCTTACCTACAGAGACCAACAGTGGTGCAAGAAGTTCCCACTGTTCCATTTTTTAAATACATTTTGCAAAGAAACACTGCAATTATTAGTGTATGAATTTCACAGAATGTTATTTAAAAAAAAAATATAAAAACACAATCCAACCCCACAGTACCTTAAATTGGTGGGTTTATGGTGCAAATTGGTAGTAATGTACAAAATCTCATTAGCAGGTACTTAGACAAATATTTCACCTGCATCTTTTGGAGAAGGTGGGGAGGGACAAACGTACTAAGTACGCTATCCACAGAAACCAGTTTGGGACCCTCAGTTCTGGAAAGCATCAGGAAGAGAGGCAGTTCCAGAAAGGTGATTGAGAAAGCCTGCAATGGGCAAGCTAAAATGGAAATACACCACATCAGCCCAAAGGTTGAACAGCACAGGTTTGTCAGGAGGTCTCTTCAGCTTTGTCAAATGCTTTCTTCTAGATGGAAAGGGTAGGTGGGAGAAAACCAAACCACAGAGCCAAAAAACTAGAAGCCTAAACCACACCATCTCCCACTCCCAGCAGCACTGATAGGAAGCTGTAAACAAAACAAAGCCTAATGATGCAAACACCAACAATGGAGGAACATAATTTACAGTGGTTAAAGACGACACAATTAGGTGTAATGGGAAGAAAAGAAACAAAAAGTAAATGGAAATTAAATATTGCACATTTTGCTAACAGCGAGGTCTATTAGGAAGCAGATTAATCTCCCATTACTTGAGTAATTCAAAACCAAATACAATACTTAAGATGCTACAGGGAATAAGCCTGTTCTGGAGAGATGGACTAGAAAATTTAAGATCATTTACATTTCCAATTTCTCAGAGTTTATGATTGTACAGAAAAACATTAAAAAGACAGCGATAAAATCCATGGAAGTTACAAAAAGTACAAAATTAATGAATAAAATTTATTGAAAAACATAATGGCCAATATCCTGTATATCATTTTATATGACTGTTCAAATAAAATAAAATAATACCTTTTGGTTTTGCTGCAGACTATGGAGACAATTTGATTATTTCCAGTATTGAAAACTTTTTTTTTCACTATACATATTTGACTTAGAGTTTAAAGAGTCTAGTGATTTTTGGTTTCAACTTAACGTTTATTAGAGGTTTCTAATTTTGCAAATGTGCTGAACAGCATATTCGCAAAATAACTGTCACTAAAAAAAATCATAGCCAAGCTTTTGTTAAATGCAAATATACCCTTGAAAACTGAACAAGGCAAACTGTTCTCTTGAATTTTTACTAACCTGGAAGACTCCACAAGCCAGCAATTTCCAAAGTTCTTAATTTCTTTTCTAGTTCTGCCACTCGATTGCCTAGAATTCTGTGGAAAAAGAACACAAAAACAAAACCCAGGGAGGTGAGATTCTTTGTTCTACGGAGGTAAGCAAAGCCCAATTGCTTGCACAGCTACAGCTGAATTTTTAACTTGTTATTTAACTAGTACAGTAAACTTGTATATATACAGCCATCTCTTTTCATTAATGGCAATGGACACCCTCCCCCAGAGTAAAAAGAGAATACAGTTGTTTAATCTATCCCATAGTTGAAAAAAAAAAAAGTCTAGGATGTACTGGACATTCAATCTTTACCTTTCTGTAAAGATGAAGAATATCAACTCACAATATTTCTATTTCCTTGCCTGCAAATATCTCTTCCAAGTTACTTTTACTTTCTCTACAGCTAAAACCAGAAGGTAAAAGCTATGCAGAAAAATACAGAAAACTCAAGGAAACATGTAGATTTGTTCTGAAGTTCTAAGACACAATTTTGGCCTAGGCCTTTATTCACAGAGCTTTCTCAGTCACTAAGATTGCTTAAAATGGCAAGGAATATCTTTCCCACTACATCTTTTATTTTAGTGTTTCAGTGCTGAACTCTGCTTTCTACTTTAGTAAAAAGCTTCAAGCTCTTTAGTGCCTTTATCACCCACTCAGTTTTCACTGCATTTCTTGGGTCATCTCTTCTTTTGTATCCGATTCCTACACAAATACTACTTGCAGTTAGCTCTCCTGCAGGATTTAACTTTTAGTCTTAATTCTCTCCCCAGATCAAATGAGAGATTTCTATCTTGCAAAGAAAGCTCTTCTTTTCTCCCCAAAATGAATTTTTGTGTTTCCCTCGCAGCCACAGCGACTCTCCTGGAGTCAGAAGCCTTTAAGTAAATCCCAAACAATACTCAACAGAGTGAGAAATCCAGACGAGGCAGCAATTCTAAACATGACAGCAGAGATAATGGCCAGCAAGTTTTACTCATCAAATTACAGCAAGAAGATAAAGCCAGTTAAATTCAAACCAAATGCAAAGAAGCAGCGTACCCCAAGGCAGCAGGGCAATAGTCACCTCCCGTGCTCACCAGATATGATGGTGCACCGCCTGCTCTCCAGTAAGGATTTTATGCTGCAGATGTTTGAACATACTGGGAATGTCATTACTGACAGGATGGCAGGCCCTGGGCAGGACGTGAAGAAAGGCAAACCCAGCAAATACCAAAGGGGCTAGGAAAATCGATTAACGAGGACTAAGTATTTTTGAAAGCCCTACTGTGAGGGCTCTGCAATGTCACAACAAAAGCCTGGAAGTATTTTCAAGATTACAAAAGTATCGAGATGAGAGTGAGAATGTGAAAGAGAAAGCTTATAATAAATATCAAATAAAGCTCTGAGAGGTACAGGGGTGTATATCAGCTAAAAAACAAACAGCCCAGCATGTTTACCAGCAGAGGAGAGAAGACATTTGGAAGCAATTAAGTTTATTTCCCCATTGAAATTCAGTAATCCAATAGGTTACTGAGATCATGATGGATCTATTACTGTCTTCTCCAATTACAATCAAAATCGTTCGAGTCTAGATTTCCCTTTCAGAATGCTTCCATCTGGTATGAGAGACTCAGACTTAATAACTCTGTTTTCATATCCCAGTGTATGCCCTGACGTCCAGCAACTGCGCTCTGCAGCACCAACAGCAGGTGATGGAGAAAGGCACAGAGAAGTCACAAGAAGCTCTACCTTGTGCACGAGGAGTCTGATCCCATGTCCCTAAAGCCAAGAATCAACTGAAGGACATGGAGTTGCCCTGGCTTAGAGAGGCAGGGAACAGACAGGTGATGCAAGAGTTGTCCTGTGTCTTGCCAGCTTAGCCAGGGAGCCAACAAAACACCACTAATATGGCTAATGATTGTCACCACAAATAGATCACAACTTCAGCACTTCTACCAGGAAAAGGAAAAAAACCCCACCTTATTATTTTCCTAAGTAGTTCCAGGGCAGAAAAAGGGGAAAAGACACAGTCCTCTCCTTTGGCAGCCGTATCACAGAAGGAAACCCAACCCTCTGCATCAAGCTCAGTTATTGCTGCTGCTCTCGTTATTTAGACAACAAAAGCAAAGTCACTTTTCTCTTGCTTCTCTTAAATTCATTTATCAGCTGTACCACTCTATTTCTAAAGGTTTTGGAGCAAATAGATCCTGATAATTCCACTGGATCATCAGAAAAGGCACTGAGCTATTTTTTAACCTTTGTTGCAGCTTCTCACGTAGAAGGATCATTCTGTGGCTCTGAAGGATAGTTGGCAAAAAGAGAGGACAATACTTAAGCCTGCTCCTTTCATTCAGGAAGAAAGCAAAAAACACATTCAATTATAAGCATGGTTCTAGTTTGCTCCAAACTACATTATCTGAAGACAGGTATGGCAGAAATGAACCCTACATAAAGCTAGGAGTTATTATAGAAACCTTTTTTGATAATGAAATTGTAAGCAATCCTGAACACACCGTGGTTCACCCCATTCCTTCCTTTCCCCTTCAGATAATTTGCCACCTCCCTGTGTGGTGTGGGAAGACTGAGTTATGGTGGCCTGGAACAGTAGGTATGTTGAAAGGCGCTGCACAGGTTGGTAGCACCAAATTCCCTCATATACTTTTTAAATCTCTAGCCATGGTGGACCAGGTCCTCTGACTACAACAGAAAGATGATGTTATCGACCGATCGGTAGGTATTTCCATTGTCCTTTGGTCATGTGTCTAATGACCACGACTAAAGCTGTCGGTCAACAAGGGAGTTAGTCTAAACCTCCCTCCAGTAGAAGGTTTTACAGAAATCTGTTGTTTGTATGACAGCAGCAACGATCCCACCTGAATTCAGAAACTCCCTTCTGGCTCTCCTGTGCTTCCCAACATACATGGCCATAATCTGGAGGGAGCCATGCTGGTTAACCACACCTGAGCTCCATTCACCTCACTTTCAAAGAATCACAGAATGATATGGGGTTGGAAGGGCCCTCTGGAGATCATCTCCTCCACCCCCCTGCCAAAGCAGGTCCCCACAGAGCAGGTTGCACAGGAACGTGTCCAGGTGGGGTTTGAATGTCTCCAGAGAAGGAGACTCCACCCCCTCTCTGGGCAGCCTCTTCCAGGGCTCTGCCACCCTCAGAGTGAAGAAGTTCCTCCTCGTGTTTAGATGGAACTTCTTATGTTCAAGTGTGTGCCCGTTTCCTCTTGTCCTGTCACTGGGCACCCCTGAAAAAAGACTGGCCCCATCCTTCTACCGCCCACCCTTTAAGTATTTATAGGCATTGATCAGATCCCCCCTCAGCCTTCTCTTCTCCAGACTAAAAAGTCTCCAGACTTTCCATTTAGATCTTGCTACAGAAGACATTTACCCTCATGCAATTACCCAAATATCTGTAAATAGGGCCTGTCAGGGTCACACATCTAGTTCTATACAGCACTTGGAAACATTTACTCAGTTACAGACTGACACAATTACTTTTTGTAATTTTAGTCATGACCGAGCTTGCCCAAGTTGGAAATGTTAAAATTAGTGCAACATGTCTAAGCAGCAGAGCAACCGATCTGGCTTGCATGGGTGCTGGCAATTTCAGGAACAAATTGCACTAAAAAGAACATCTAATAAACAGCTTATTGCCAGAAGGGAAAAAAGATTTTTATCCACTTGCTAGGCAGGCAGAAGGAAAAAAAGATTTTTATCCACTTGCTAGGCAGGGTTAGGGCTGTTCATTTTTGCATTTATGTAGCTATTTAATCTGACAAGACGTTACTGCATACAGAATTCATTTACAACTGCCTTTTCAAATTAAGCTAACATGCTTGTGAGGAAAAACATAGGATGTTACTTAAACTTAGCAGTAGTAGCTATGAATCACATGGGGAAAATGTCTTGTTTTCTTCCCAAACAACAAAATTTTTTTTTCTTAAAAGTGAGGCTAAAAAAAATAATAAAGGCTGGATTTAGCCTGCTTGTTCCTAGGCACATACTCCCACAGCTCTTTTTATCATGCCACATATTTAGAAAAGCGGCAATAATAATAGTGTGTCTGTTCCAAGAGCAAATTGCAACGGATGTTTTTAACAGTGTAACGGCAAAAAGTCAACTTCAACAGCACATCCAAATCCTCATCTATGTAAAAAAAAATAGTAAAATATCCATTGTCTTCTTACTGCTTCAGTTAGTCAGAAAGCAAATCTAGCATTCTGCTTTTGTCAACTTATACAGCCATAGCTCAATCCGCAAGCAACAAAAGACATTTTGACTCAAGAGTAGGTTAACCCTTTGGAGGAGAATAAGTTGATCCTGTCTGAAAAGCCTCATTTACTGATAATAGAATCACTAACAGATCAATCGAAAATCAAAAGCAGAACTTCTTCCCTGAAAGAAACAACCACCCCAAAATCCCATGTTCCTCACCCAATAAATCTCATTTTCTTCACACAACAATCTCAAGGATTAACTGCGTCCTTCAAACATGCTCTTTGCACAGGAAAGGCCAGGCAAACAGGACAGAGGGGTGAAGGAGACTTTTACCTTCTGACTTAAAACCTTTTGTAGTTACGATTCTCTCTAGCCCACATCCTTCTCATCTTCCTACTCTGAATGGAGAAATGTCTTCCACCAAAGAATGCACCTCTTCCTAGTACCAGATTATGGACCTGTCTGTTTTACTTGTGCACTGACCTCACTCACCTCTAACCTTCCCCAACAGGAGGGCAGTTTCTTCCCCATTTTCAGAAGTCAGCAGTCTTTACTTGTAACTTTTTATGTGGCAAATAATTGCCCCAACAACCAGCTAATGCATCTCAAATAAAGGATGTTTTTCCCTGATGTCCTAGCTGCATTTCCCTTTTTCGCTTTAACTCTTTTGTGTCTTAGGTGTTTCTACTTGAAGTCCTTCCCATTCCTCCTAGCTCCTTAAAAGCTTCCTTAACCCAACTAAATCCAAAGGTGACAAAAAGGAGGAGGAAGAAGCATACCACACAGGAACGTTGCTGAGGCTCTTAACTCAACTTGCCCAGGATTTATCCTCTTTTTTTTTCCCTGAAGCACCCTGAACTGAATAGAATCATTGAATGGTTTAGGTTGGAAGGAACCTTGAAGATCATCAAGTTCCAACTCCCTTGCCATGGGCAGGGACACCTCCCACCAGACCAGGTTGCTCAAAGCCCCATCCAGCCTGGCCTTGAACCCCTCCAGGGATGGGGCATACAAATACAAACTAGAGCTCTGAGCACAGTTGGCACCCAGGAGAGATGTGGACTGTCACCTCCCTCTAAGGCCTGATCTTCTACTGAGCACAGAACACTAGTTTGTGCACAAATCCAGTCTCTCTTCCCGTGGCTCTATATGACCGGTTGGGCACTACAAACTACAGCTCTGAGCACAGTTGGCACCCAGGAGAGATGTGGACTGTCACCTCCCTCTAAGGCCTGATCTTCTACTGAGCACAGAACACTAGTTTGTGCACAAATCCAGTCTCTCTTCCCGTGGCTCTATATGACCGGTTGGGCACGCGGATAAAAGAATTGGATCTCCTTGTGAAGGCTTATCTCAAGAAAACCCATACTCAATAGCTTAAAGTATTGGAAAGTAAAGCCATCATTGCAGTGATGCATTTGAGAGATGCAAGAGTGATCAGAGAAAGACACAAAATTATGAAAGAACTTTGCTATAGTTATAAGCAAGAGTATGCAAATGAGAACACCGGGTAATGATACCGCATCAGGATGTAAAAGGCAAAGGTTGGTTATAACTGGAATAACAAAAGCTGTTCTCTGGATGTTTTCCTTCTTACTGCTAATGGAACATCAGAAGGGTTAGTAAGGGGGTGATAGCCCTTCATCAGCATTGCTCAGCGCAGGAACTCCTCCTGGATTACATGACATGCAGACATGAAGCAACTGAGCTGCCACCAGTTCGATCCGGGCTACATTTTCACAGCTTTCATCTCCCTTTCGCTGATTAGGCATTTGCTTTCTCAAGAGTATTAAGAGTGGCTATAAACTGCTCCTCCACTTCTGGTGCCGCATCGCCAAGAATTATGCGACAGAGTCTGCCTAGTATCAGAGTTATCAATTTTCAAAATGAATCATCTATTCTAGCGCAATACAGTTTACTTCTGTACTACTCCTTCCTTTCACGAAAGATGCCTGCCTGTTTCTGGCATCTGGTCCTGATGTGCTTTTGAGAAGCCTGAATAACCTCTGATTACCAGTAGTGACTCAGTGTTAAAAAAAAAAAAAAAAAAAGGAAAAAAACCTGAGCACAGAATCAAGGAACACTTCCTAGCTCTGATTTTCATGCACTGTATAAGGACAATAATATCAGAATGTCAGAAAATGTGTCAAAAACTATTATATTCTGCCATGATAGGAGCTGTGCAAGACACAAAGAATTGTACTGATGAGTAGAACAGCCAGGAGTAAACAAACTCTCCTTGAAAGTTCAGTTCAGATGATTTTAAAAAAAATAATCATACAGTAGCAATCCAACTGTGTTTATCTCCCACAACTTTTGGCAAAGTAACCACAAGACCAACACCTATCATTTGGGTGACACATAGGCTGTGAGCCTGTGACAAACGTTACACTAAATCTTTTCAGACCCTTTCCTGGGTGCAATATTTACTATTCCCACCAGTGTTCATCACCAAATTCCTACATTAACAACCAATTAATACATATCTTCTCCTCTAGTTCAAGGGCAGCCTTCCTCCCAGCAGCTTTTCTTTAGCCCTCCCTACAGACAACTTGCTAGAAGTCCCCTCCATGTTATTATGGTTTGTCTTAAAGCTGAGTTGCAAACCAATCCTTGCCTAGCAGATGCAGGCAGGTCTCTGTCAATCCCAGACTTTACTTCAAACATGTAATTTTTCTCTAAATACATACCTGATCTCAAAAACTAAAGAACCCTCGAGTTAAAAACGACAATGAATATTCTGTGAAAATGGGCCTTCCTTCCCATTTCCCTCCAAAACTACAACTTAGAAGTCATGTTACCTACTTGTTGGTTTGTCTTTGGTGTTGTATGACCATGTTCTTTTCATGGATAGTTTCCAGCAATGCAGTGGCCAGTGATTTGAGGTCTGAAATGGACTGTGGTGTGGCAGGTAGGCTACATCCGTGATCCTCTGACAACAGCTCCTGGACTATAATGTTAAAAACACAAATGAGTTTTGGTTTCTCACGCACAGAGATGCGACACAAAATTTTACTTAGCATTAAAGAATTACTCACATTACTTAAATTAATATGGTTTTTTTTTTTCCTTCAGTTAACCAAGTCAAAAGACCAGAAATATAATCTCTAGGTGGCATAAAGATGGTGGCTTTCTAAACTGATCATTATTCAACTGCCAGAACAAGTGTAGGCAGACACATCTTATGGTAACTTAATTCTGCTTTTGGAAAACTATTTTTGTTCAGAAGGAAACAAACTTATTCTTCTACAGGCCTGCAGATTGGCAAAAACCGGTCATTTCTCTCCCACTTACATTAAAACATAAGCCCACAAGGAAGCTTTTATATTACTTTTTAGAATTATGATATCCTTCAGGTTATTTAAGCCTGATGTGAAAATACAGTCACCCATGAACTCTTCCTCTGCAGCAGAACCCCATCAGGATGTTCACTCGTATCATTAACTTCTGTAACCAGAATCTGGCTCTGCCTCTTTATCTATACATGCAAGTACATGGAGAAGAGGACAGAAGATAAGTCAAACCCAGAAAAGTGAGTTTCAACCTACCATGACAAATACTACTGATCTCGTGTGCGTGTGTATGAATACACCAACACCTAAACAGCAGGCTCCAGGTACGCTCTTTGGCTCAGAGAATTCTCTCATCCCCTTTCTTTCCTAATCTTGCCATTTTCTTTGAAGGGGGAAAAAAGACATTACTAATCCATTTTGCTACACATGGGTAGCAAACAGGGGACAAAAGGATTTCTTGCAAAACATCTGAATGTAAAAGCTTCCCAGAACAGTAGCAGAAAACTTGATTTAGGGCTCCTCCTCTACCACCCAGTCTATTTTTCATTGGAATACAAATTGTGATTGCCATTGTTAGCAGAGCAAAGAGATGAATAAAGAAGTGATTTGTCAGGGTGAAAGTTGCAGAGGGGTTTAGAGATTGAAAAAAAAAAATTAAAATTTATAAAATTGACAGGGGAGAGAATGGATGGCAAAAGAGTAACAAAAGGAGAAGCAGTACGCAAGAGGCAGATTTTATATTGTCAAGTCAACTGAGAAAAGGACAAAAATTAGCACATAATAATAAGCAGGAGAGAGGGGAAAGATTTTTGCTTTGGTGGTGAGGAAAGGGTTACTGAAATTAAGAGGCAAGATGGAAGGAATTCAATGAGATATGCAACACCGTGCTGCGTTGATGCAATACCTTGCTTTGCAGAGAGGACTCCAGTCAGAGCACTGCTACTGGATCTGCTATGGGTCTTTGAGTTTCTTCGTCTCTCTAGGGCATTCTAAGGAAACAACAAATACCTCATTTAGAAAAACAGAAGCCAACAAACCTTTTCATTAGGAGTAAAGAATCTGGAACTTTGGATTTTGGTGTCAGAACAACTCTGCAGGGCCTGGAGCTTATACCTATAGTGACCTGTGGGAGTGTGACTCTCCTGGAGTAGTATTCTCCAGCCAAAAAAATCCTTTGCAATGTTACAAAGGCTCGTTCTGTCTCATTGCAATCACTTTATGGTAGTATCTCGCACCCACTCTCCGCAATTCTTCAATAATCTGCTGAGTGTCTTTCAAGATACCACAGTATCCTGTAGAAAATATCAGTTGGCAACAAAATCAACCCTTCCCCAGAATGTTAATGTCTCTGAGGGGAGACCTTCTCGCTCTCTACAACTCCCTGAAAGGAGGGTGTAGAGAGGTGGGGTTGGTCTCTTCTCCCAAGTCACAGGCGATGGGACAAGAGGAAATGGCCTCAAGTTGTGCCAGGGGAGGTTCAGGTTGAATATTAGGAAAAATTTTTACAGAGAGGGTTATTAAGCATCGGAATGGGCTGCCCAGGGAAGTGGTGGAGGCACCATCCCTGGAGGTGTTCAAAAGATGGGTTGACATGGTGCTTAGAGACATGGTTTAGTGATGTGGGGGTTTTTTGTTGGTTTTTTTACCCCCCATCAGAGTTCGGTTGATGGTTGGACTAGATGATATTAAAGGTCCCTTCCAACCTAGAGAATTCTATGATTCTAATTTTGTTCTTTAAATTCATATGAACATGAGAATGAACAATAACCTCCATGAACAACGAAGCACAGTTTAGATGATACACTGAGAAGATCTTACCTTATATTTAGTAATAGTAGACTTAAGAAGATTGACTTCCTCTTGAAGTTGTTTTAATCTCTCTTGAAGATACCTGAAAAAGAAATGCAATCCTTTACTTCACGTTACCTTCAAGTACTGCCTCAAGCACTCCTCTTTATTATTTGGCATGTCCTCTCTTTGAACTACTGAGAGTTCTTTTCCCTCTGCAGTTCTGTGAGGGATAAAATAACAAAATCTTAGTGCTCTTGACCCCATAAAACTTTAAGTAGGGAAACAAATTGCATCAGAAAAGGAGGCTGCCCTTCTGTTAGATTTGTCGAGCGTGCTGCACAACCAGTTTATATCGGTCCTCCAGTTTCTGGGGAGGGAAGTTAAAAGGAGATATTTATGTCTAGAGGAAATAGTCAGGAAGCCCTCTGTACTTGAAGGTTTGTGAGATGGACATGTGAAGATTTGTATATACGTCAACACTAGACTCAACTATGCAGAACTTTTGCATTGCAATATCCATCACTTCCATGGCACTTCTCATTAGCAATCACAAAGTAGAAAATTTAACAGTCTAGTTGAAAAATGGTATACGGTTAACTGAAACAGTACAGTTCTTCCTAATAGAGTTTATGCACTTAGATTAGACTGCTATTTCCACATAGGAAAATATCTTTTTCATGTATAAAGGGTTTATAAATTATCCTCTTTCATGTAGTGCAACTGCAGCTGTATCAGGGTTTGTGACAATTTAACTGTTTTAGAGAAAAAAAGTCCTATCACTGTCAGGGAAGCAGGGATCTTAAATTGATACAGAACTCTGTAGGTCATGCAAAAGAGAAAAAAAAACTGCGTTTTTTTGGAGGAAATGATGCCTTTGGTATTATACTTTCCTACCTGAAACATATGTTTCTGTAAATTAAAAGTGTCTTACAAGAAATATTTCACTTTAAGATAATTGTTGACATTAAGGGAGGTACCTGCTCTGGGTCTGACAGTGACTCTTCTGTGTTGTCCTCAGCAGAGACCATCAAACACATTCTTTTCCCAAGGATGTGGCAAGAATATCTACATGGGTGATTTCACCAGCAACTTTTGTTGGCAAATCACTCCATGTTGACAGCCTCTCCCTGTGGTGAGAATTATGTCCAAAACTGTTAAGGCAGGGTACTCAAAGTCCCCGTTTCTAATCCAAGATTAGCTCATTACAGCCCACTATGAGCTTCTGAAGACACCAATTTTTAATATTCTTGCTGTTGGTGCCATACAGTGATGGGAATAAACAGGCCTGCACTTCCCTTCCTTTTCCCTGTTCAGCTCTGTTTGGGAGGATCACTGACATCTCTGTAGCCAAATAAAACATCGGTAATTTCCTGCAGCCAAACTTTCTCAATGTTATTTGATGATTAGCTCCAGCACAAACAAAAAAAAAAACAACAAAATCTCTTGGATATATTTTCTTTAAAGTTTTGTTGTGATTGACTACCAAAATCTCTTGACTTTTATTCTTGGACATATTTTCTTTAAAGTTTTGTTGTGATTGACTTCCTGTTAAAGCCATCCATTGCTTGTTCCAGGGAAACAGCAAGGTTTGCAACGCGCTCACCTGTCTGATGCTCCCTGTTGAAGCCATCCATTGCTTGTTCCAGGGAAACAGCAAGGTTTGCAACGCGCTCACCTGTTCTCCATGCACAGAGCATCTACGTCGATGATACGGTTTTCGTGCCCTCCCAAGACGTGATTAAGTTCTTGGTTCAGTCTGTCAGACTTATCCTGGTAAAAAGAACGTTCCTCTTTCACATCCTGTAACTCGTCCAGCGCAGCCTGAAAGTCATATCTCAGAGTCTCGATCTGAGGAAAAAAAAAAAAAAGGAGAGCTGTATGATTATTTTGAAGTTCAGACAAAAGATTACATAGTGCCCAAACTGAAAACAGCAACAAGCACTGCAGGTCTGAACAGGATTGATTTTGGACAGTCAAAACTCTTTCCAAAGCTCAGAATCTCCAGCACTTTTACTCTATTTTGGTATTATTTTGTTAATTTGAAATTAAGTAACTTAAGCAGTTAGATGTGTTTTACAAAATTTCTAGAAAACAACTTGGGGAAGAGTGGCTGGAAAACTGCCCGGTGGAAAAGGACCTGGGGGTGTTGGTCACCAGCCGGCTGAATAGGAGCCAGCAGCGTGCCCAGGTGGCCAAGAAGGCCAACAGCACCTTCTGTCCGTGGCCAGAAGGACAAGGGAAGTGATGGTCCCCCTGTACTCAGCACTAGTTAAGCAGTATCTTCATAAGATGCATCAGCCATCACATATTGTGTTGAATAAATGTAGCAGTTTTCACTGAAGGGTCTCTTTCATTGATATTGACAACATTCAATTGTCACAAGTTGTTACTGCACATTATAAAAAGAGGAGAATTGATAATCTAGAGAAGGAATTCCTGAGATTAGGAAACTCACTCTAACCTCTATGCATGTTTAAGTTAGTGCTCAATGAGAACTATTTCACAGAATTACAGAATGATATGGGGTTGGAAGGAACCTCTGGAGATCATCTAGTCCAGGCCCCTTGACAGAGCAGGTCAAAGGTTGCACACGAACGTGTCCAGGTGGGTTTTGAATGTCTCCAGAGAAGGAGACTCCACCACCTCTCTGGGCAGCCTCTTCCAGGGCTCTGCCACCCTCCAAGGAAAGAAGTTCCTCCTCATGTTTAGATGGAACTTCTTATGTTCAAGTATGTGCCTGTTACCTCTTGTCCTGTCATTGGGAACCACTGAAAAAAGAGGTCCCATCCTCCTGACACCTACCCTTGAAGTATTTATAGGCATTGACCAGATCCCCCTTCAGCCTTCTCTTGTCCAGATTAAAAGGACTGAAGTCCATCAGCCTTTCCTCATAAGGGAGATGGTCCAGGCCCCTCATCATCTCTGTAGCCCTCTGCTGTACCCTCTCCAGCAGTTCCCTGTCCTTCTGGAACTGGGGAGTCCAGAACTGGACACAGGACTCCAGATGGGGCCTCACCAGGGCAGAGCAGAGGGGGAGGATAACTTCCCTCGACCTGCTGTCCACACTCTTCTTGATGCACTCCAGGCTGCCATTGGCCTTCTTGGCCACAAGGGCACATTGCTGGCTCCTGGTCATCCTGTTGTCCCCCAGGACCCCTGGGTCTTTCTCCTCAGAGCTGCGCTCCAGCAGGTCAGTCAAAAATCCCAAGACCTTCACCAGTATTTGCAATCTTAATCAGCTACCAGCCCTCCAACACAACAGAAGCAGTCATTTACTTGCTACTGCACTCTAAAACATGTCAGTATACGCCCATTTAGTTATTACTTGTTCTCGAGCCTTCTCCAGTTGTTGAACAAGGTCCTCCCGTTCATGCGCTGCGAAGTGGCGAGCCCCAACTTCATCATCTCCAAGTCTTTGCTTTGCTATTGTCATTCGAAGGAGCTGTGATTCCAAAAAAAAAAAAAAAAAAAAAAAAAAAGATTGGGTAAGGGAGAGAACAAAGACTGTAGCATTGGACTACATCTGCATTAGAAAGACTAAAGCTGCCACAGGGTTGGTCTCTTCCAGGTCAAGCAGCTGGTATTATTTCAACCAGAGGAAATTTTCTGAGCTGAGGGCTCGATCCTGTTCTCAGTGAAAAATTCCAGTCCAACACTCAAAGTATTAACAGGAGCTGAATTAGACCTTGCAACAATGGTCACCAGTGTATACAAAGGATGACAGACCAAGTAATCACAGATTTAGGAGTGGCAGGAATGAATTCCGGTCACAATGAAACTAGAGAATTCCCAGAAAGCCATTTTCACATATAAATTTTAAAATCCTCTGCAGCAGAGAACTCTTCCTAGTTAAGACTAAAAGGACACTAAGTGGCTTTCCAGCTTCATTTTACTGATACCACTTAAAATCCCACTGCCCTACATCAGTGCAGAATTTGCATTAACAGCTACTAATACATTTGCTCGTGCGTTATTTTTTTCATCTACTCACAAAAGTTAATTCATATTAAAAAAAAAATCAAATGGACTAGCAACAAAATACTTGGCCAAAATGCTCAAATGGCCAATGAACTCGTGAGCTTTGCAACAGCTGAAAATAGTGATTTGAATTAATACAGAGTTATGTTCAAAATCCGAAGCAAAAAGAAACTACCTGTCAAGAATCATGGAGTATTAAAATATCAGTCTGTAAGGCATTCAGCGTTTACAGTTGTTTATGCTGAGTACAACTAAGCAAAAGTGTTGCCTCCCCATGGCCTCGTTTGTAGTGGTCCACAGAGACCAGAGAAACCCACCACAATAACCAGCTTGACTTTCCCCGTATCTTCGATTGCACTGAGGAATTAATGTACATCATTATATTGCAGAGTTAGGGAAAAAAAAAATCAAAAAAAAAAAACCAATCTTCTGAAGTAGAAGATTGTACATTAAAAATCTATCTTTGGTATTTATGGGATGCCAGTCACCATAGCTGCAATGTGCCAATTAAAATCCTGCTGATGCAAGACAGACTACCAAAATCATCCTCCCCACTTATTTCGGCTCCAGTTCAGTGCGAGTCACTGAAGCCAGTACAACTTGTTCTGATAAGCACTTCGCTTTTGGGGGCACAGCTTCCCCTGCACAAGTAACTGGTTTTGGCAAACTACATTTCCCTATCCCCACAGGGAAAGCACAGACCACTGCACAGTTAGTAAGGCTGAATGGATCCTAGGAGATATAATTCCTATTAATTTCTTTATCCATACAATGAATCAGAAAGGCAACTAGCAAATCCCGGAATGGCTTCACAGCTATGGGACTTTTTTTTTTTTTAAAAAAAAAATGCTATAAGGCTGATGAACAAAAGGCACTGTAACGTGATTTAATTCAGTTAAATTAATTTAATTTCTCAAACCTCTCTCTAACGAGAAAGCCAGTTCAGAAACAAATGCAATAACATTCCGAGGACTCAATTTTGCTCAGAAAAACTGGAAAAAGGGAGGGGAATCTCACTTTCCTGACATCTCCAGTGCCTGCAGCAGAGCAGAACTTGTGCGTGAGGCTCGGCCGCAGGCTGGGAACTGGATCAGAGCTGTGACTCACGCACCACCACCAGCCCTCCTCCAGCCCGGGAGGAGGAGGGGGAGGCACACGATGCAATTACAACTGCAAGCAATTATTACTTGCAAGGTCAAACAGCCTGCCAATAAACGGAGAACTCTTTATTTACTACTAATTTTGAGGCCAAAAAAAAAAAAAAAAAAAGAAAGCATGAAGTCTTATGAAAAGAATGCTTCAGAAATCCAAATTTCAGCCAGTAAAAGCAGCATTATAAACATACATAAAATAAAGTAAAACAGCAATCCATAAAACGACAGAGTGCTTCTTCCAGACAGTTGGCCAATCAGAGAGTTGACAGGGCAGAACAGGCCAAGTCCTCTAATTCTGCATCGCCAATGTCTCATGAGGCAGCACCACCTGCTATAAAAATCTTCCCTGAAAATGCTGTGACCCAAAGAGACACAAAGTGTTATGCCAGAGGGTTAAGAGTTTATTTCATAGATTAGTGCTTTGTTATAAACTTTATACACCTGCCCTCTGGCTGCTGTATTTTTATTTCTGTCATTTGGAAATCACTGAGGAAAGGACCGCTCATTTTCAGCTCCATTTTGCAGCCGGAGAATAGGTTAATGCTACCCCTTAGGATTCTGTGAAGAGCATCCACAGCAGAGTGGATTTAAATTAACGGCACCTTCCCAGAGGTCAAACCTTCCTGTTTGTCAAGAACCCATAGATTGTTAACCAAAACAATCCACTGCCGCTGCAGTAAAATCCAGGTACGGACCAGAACTATGCAAATTTGTTACCTGAAGTCCCAGTTCTGCTAAAACATATGCACCACATTTAACATTTGCTGCATGAACGACCGTCTGCCTTATAGTAAGGAACCATCAGTAACCCCACAGCCATTGTGTTCCTCTGTCTCCCTCTTGCCCAGCGCTGCCCTCGACAGCTTACAAAACCATTTCTTTGCGTGGGTAGGAATTCAAGTGGAGCCAACTGAGTCATCTAGTCTTCCAGAAGCCTCCAGTTTCTCTTATGCTTTCCATTTTCACCCTTTTACATGAGAGAATTAGATTTCCTAACCATCCCCTTCTAAGTTTCAGTAATTGTTCTCCCGGCGTTGCTGCCAGAACGTTAGGAAGGAAAAAAGATTTACAAATAACTATCATAAGCAGAGAATAGTTTTCATGTGTCAGAGCTGATAAGAGATTGCGATCTATCATAAAAATAAATAGTCTTAGATATCTGCTGCTGGAGCGCTGCAGTCTAACTATTGCTGTATTTCTCAAACTGCAGCAACAAATCCTTCCAGAGACTGCCTGAAGAAGTTTTATTATTTGTGCCAACAGAATTCTAGCTGAAATTAAAGGGGAAAAAAAAATAATCAGTCCAGTTAAACCAAATGCAAGTAATTTGTTACTGCCTAACTGATGACGTCCTTAACAAGTAAAATGTCACCAGTTTAAGGGCTTCTTACTAATCCAAGTGACTGTATCCTACCAGTAGCAAACATTAAAGCGCTGAAAAACAAGCCAAGCCATCAAAACATTTCTTTATCAATAGAGCTAATGTGTGATATTTAAAGAGGGTTTGTTGGTTTTGTTTTTTTTTTTTCCTTTTTGGTCCTACAAAGCTCTTGCCACTCGGTGACAAAGCCTGCATGAGTCACCCCTGCTCAGACACAGGCAGAATTGTTCATCCATAAGCAGCTTCACTTGCTGCAAAAGCAGCTGTTTGTTCATCTCTTGCCAGAAGTAAGGTTGACGTAGACCAGCTGGGCAGGATGCCCTCCCTCCTTCCCTCCCTTTGGAAAAAGCGAAGAGAAGAATGCAGAGGAGGGGGGGAAATAATGTAGGAACGAGCAAATTATTATAGTTCTTTGTTTTTTGCATCTACCACGCGTTATCTGGACTCTACTGCCTGAAGTAGCTCCAGCTGCTGGTGCAGGAGAACTGATGCGCAGAGCAGAAAGGCTTCGGGAAGAAGCCTAAAATGTTATCGCTGAAACGAGGAGGGAGCAAAAATCTGACACGGGAGGAGTGTGTTAAATCCCTCAGAGAGATGGTGATGCTTTTTTAGGCACTTCAAAAAACAGCAACCTGACTCTCAAATAAGCTCTATTTCTTATTTACTAGGAAAGTGAAGAATGTGTTCCAAAAATGAAAATCCTAGTCTAAATTAATCCCCGTCTGATGCAGTTCTTTTCCTCCCCCTCTTTATTTAGTGATGCTCTATTTTGCACCTTTCAGAGAGGGGCACGGTGGGCAGAATAACCCTTTTTTGTACTTTTCCATTCATTATGAGGAGCATGAATTTAAACTCATGCTGAGAATACAGATGTCGCAAAGATGACCAAGTAATATCAAGTTAACCTGCAAAGGCAAATCTAAACAAAGTCAGTTCAAGCACAAAGTAGCCTCTGTGTTAGTGAGATCATATTGTTGTAAGAAATTAGAATAGGGTGCATAACCTTGGTGTTTAAATATGTTGTTGCTTTGCTACCTTTGTGTTCATCTGCTCAGGACTGGCTTGGGAAAGGCTGTATGGCATAATACTGGTACTGGAGAACTGCAAGGCACTGTAATATAGTTCCACTGTAATATAGTTCAAACAATAACATGCAAGTGAAAAGAAACACTGGGAAAGCTGGTTTTTGAAGACTTGAGCAAGTTTCACTGAATGCTACGCACGCTACAAATTCAGGTCTCACCTGGCTCTGCTCCCTGAGTACCCTCCTTGAAGCCCTTTGTGATAAACAATGAACAAAACTGCATTATCACAATATACTTATGTTTAAAATAAAATGAACTTAAATGAAAGGAAAAAAACCATCGGAATAATTAAAAGCTGCATCATTTTTAAAGCCTGTAACTTTAAAACTGTAGTTGAGGGAGGGAAGTTATTATTCATTTTTTGTTTCATTTTTTACTTCGTTAACCACCTCGACTCTCAGATTCAACCTCTCACTAGTTTGATCTCCGAATGTACTTTTGCATCCAGCTCCAGCTGTGAATGTTACACACATTTGGCTTGAGTTTAAATATTTCAATTAACAGAGACAACAGGAGTTTGATTAATACCAAATGGCAGATTTTGAGCAATGTTCCATATAACTTGCTAAATTTAGCAATAAAATAAATTGGTTATGTAAGGGTAATGGGACAAGGGCCAAATACAAAGCTCACTATATATATTTGTGATCAAATGCTCCATATTTTTGAAGGGAAAAATTATGCCTCCCTTGGTATTATCGTCTACTAATAGTTTGCATTTTCATGGCAAACAAAAATTAAAATTATCACATGATGATCACATACTTATCTGTACTTATTTTAGGAGGAAATAGCACTAATAAATTACATTAAAAAATAATAAAGAAAGTCTGAGATCATTAAAGCAAGGTGAGGTACAAAATACTCAATTAAGGACGAACAAGCAAAAGCAGCATACAAAAATGTGTAATAAGCTGCACTTACTGGTATCCTGTACAAACTTCTTTTCTTCTACTGTTTTGAGCATTTATTGTAATCAAGGTATTCTAGAAGTTCTGCAACCCATTGTTTTATTTGTTTTCCTAAGAAGTAAATGTAAAACTCCAGTCCAGTTTACACGTTCCATGCCATTTACTGATAACAAAAGTTTATAATACCTTATTGTCCCCTTCTACTTCTCCCAGTCTCTGCTGAAGCTCTCTAATCTCTTCTCCAAGATGCTTATTTCGATCTTGAGCCTCACTCAGTAGTTGAGCAAGATTTGCCTGGAAAAAGAGTAAATATCAATCAGAAATGAGTGCCTATGGAGAAAAGTGTAAGTGGTGATGAAAAGAAACCCTAGACTTACTCCTTATCTGGCAACGATCTTTAGTTTTATTATTGTTGGTACTGAGACTTCATGTTTACTGGAGAGATAACAAAAAAGTCACCAGGGCTCCTGTATCTTTAATAGTAGAAATTACATACAGCACATATGGATAAGGGAAGAGCGACTGACATCATCTACCTGGACTTGTGCAAAGCATTTGACGGTGTCCCACATGACATCTTTGTGTCTAAATTGGAGATACATGGATTTTATAGATGGACCACTCATCCTTGTGTCTAAACTGGAGATACATGGATTTTATAGATGGACCACCTGGTGCATAAGGAATTGGCTGGATGGCCACACTCACGGAGTTGTGGTAAACAGCTCGATGTCCAAATGGCGACCAGTGACAAGTGGAATCCCTCATGGGTCAGTACTGGGACCAGTGCTGTTTAATATGGGCCAGTGCATGACACGGGCACACAGCCCAAGCTGTGTGTCGACACACTGGAGGGAAGGGATGCCATCCAGAGGGACCTGGATGGGCTTGAGGTGGGCCTGTGAAGTTCAACCAGGCCAAGTGCAAGGTCCTGTACCTGGCCTACAGCAATCCCAAGCACAAATACAGGCTGGGAAGAGAATGGATTGAGAGGAAGGCCGCAAAGATGCTCAGAGGGCTGGAGCACCTCTCCTATGAAGAGGCTGGGAGAGTTGGGGTTGTTCAGCCTGGAGAAGGCTCCAGGGAGACCTTAGAACCCCTTCCAGCACTTAAAGGGGGCTACAGGACAGATGGGGAAGGACTCTTGATCAGGGAGTGGAGCCACGGGATGAGGGGCAATGGCTTCAAACTGAAAGAGGGCAAATTTAGACTAGATATTAGGAAGAAATTCTTTGCTGTTTGGGTGGTGAGACACTGGATGGCTGCGGAGGCCCCATCCCTGGAGGGGTTCAAGGCCAGCCTGGATGGGGCTTGGAGCAACCTGGTCTGGTGGGAGGTGTCCCTGCCCATGGCAGGGGGTTGGAACTCAATGACCTTTAAGGTCCCTTCCATCTCTAACCATCCTATGATTCTGTGTGTGCGCACACACTCCCAGAACATCACATGAACCCTGGACACAACAAAGTGAAAACATCTACGCTAGTTCTGGTATCTTGGCTGGTGGGAAGAGAAAAATGCAGAGTACTCTGACAATATTTATATGAAGTTGCCAAAATGCTAGTTTTAAACTTCCACATAATTAGACAAAAGGCACAGCTGATAAATGATTATGATATAATTATATTCTCTAGTAGTGTTCAGAGAGGATTCTTAGCCAGTATAGAGGATGCCAGCTAGAGTCCCTGCCCCTACACAGAGATGTACCATGGATATTTAGTGGCATAAAACTTCAAAACTTGTTAGCTAGTAAACAGACTCTAGAAAAATGCAGGTGAAAGCTAGAGACTGAAAACTAACACCCATCCCACCCCCAAAGAATTCAGGTCAAAAGTTACCACTTACATTAACCTACTAAGTTAGCAGGGTGAGCAGTCTCATCTATAATTTTTACAATTAAATTCCATCAGCTTGATGACTAAACAAAAAATAATGCAATCTCTTCCTTTCCTAACTATGATATTTGAAAATATGCAAATACTACAGACAAATTTATTATATATTTACCCTAAAAATATCTCAGGAATACATTGACCCAGCACAGGAAAATTCTACCGATAAGATCTCTTTTCTAAGAGAGCTATAATCATAGTGGCTAATGTGCAGCCTTTCGGGATGTTGCCTATGGACAGCTAGGTCTGTCATTCATTGCCATAAATCTGAAGAATATAGAAAGAAATGAACAGAAGAATTTTCAGATCTTCTAAGCTTGACCTGGCAAAGCCTCCTGAGTCAGTATTTCTTGGATACCCTCACACATACTCCCTGGGTTTGAGGCCAATGCATCAACTGTCTGCTCTCAGTTCTCTCAGTATTTTACATTTAGCTTTAGTTTCCCTACTTGCTGTGCTTCTCTTTCAGCTCACCCACTTCTCTATCTTAGTATCCCTCTCTCTCTCTCTCTTTTTCAGTCCTGCTCTTTTACCCATTCTCATTACCACTTTACAGTCTCATAGCATATTTTTCTGAGTTTTAAAGATAAAACTCATACATTATCAAGCCAACAAGGTGTCTGATAACCATTCCTGCAACTTTCCCCTTCCTAACTAACAACTGCTATTTCCACACATCTTGTTTTACATTTAAGAGAACTATAAACACAAATATGTTAACATGAATATTAACATGAACATAGCTGTGCATGCATCTGACCATTTGCAGGATTAGACTATTAAACTACTAAATTATAATCAACTGGAACTTTTGGACGCTACTATATGAAGAAGCCGGCTCCAAATTCCATTTGGGTTAAAACAGCAACAGCTTCAAACTTTCAAACAGGAAAAATAACTTGAGAAACTGATACGTCCTACCTGATGAACAACAAGCCCAATTCACTGCTGCAGCTTCTGTACTTACAATCATAGAATTGCCTGGGTTGGAAGGGACCTTTAAGATCATCTAGTCCAACCATCAACCTAACTCTGATAAAAACCCGTCACTAACCCATGTCTCTACTTCTAGTACTCTGAGATCAAAGGTTCAGAACAAAGTAACGTAACTTTCCCACAGTTTTAGAAGAGATTAAGGCATTTTTTATACTACTGATAAACCTGAAGACTGCAAATAAATAATCTGGGAAAAGAGTGTAATAGCAAGAAATGTAAATAGCCAATTATAGGGCCAAAATTAAGCTGTCTCTAATTTTATTTTTCAAGTCAGCAACCATTCAAGCAATGCAAAAGGTTCCTCAAGTATGCTTTGGTAGAATGATTTTTTTTCTATACATTAAACAAATGCGTAATAGTCATTCATACATTGAATGAATCAAGGAGCTTCGGAACACATTCAGTCAATGGTTTTGAGAGGTACTTCTTAATGGCTGTTTAAAAGAAAGAACCCATGTTTGCAGGAAATTGTATTTAAACTGAAGTATCTTTTGCTACTGCTCAGATGCAATTTTTTTTTTTTATTTTTTAAGAAAGCTGATTTTCAATAAAGACCATCCAACCACCAGACTGAGTTAGTTAAAAGGAACATGATCTGCACAAATCTCTCTGAAACACTTCTATTTATAAAGTCCCTTTTTATGATGAATTTGAACAACTCCTAACACTGCAATAGCACATGTAATTTCAACACCTGGGAACAACTCAATCTCACTAATCAGTGTTTACAGCCACAACACCAGGATTCTAGTAGTCTGTAGTTAAAACCCAGCTCCCAGAAACTGCAGGAAAGGCATTACCGTGCCTACACTAAATCTTCCTGCTCAGATTTATTTCTTTTAAAACCATTTCTCTGGGATTGCAATTCTATGCTGAATTTTATTTGTCAGTCATATAAATGACAACGTGACAAAACCCTTTATACTCGAGTCAGGGACTTTGGAAAAAAACCAAACCAACTTTAAATGAAGAATTTTGGACACCAAAATAAACCAGCCTGGTTTAAGCATGCTAAGAGCATTACAATGAGCTAAGTATAGACTCGCTCCTTAATGCAAAGCTTCTATTATACTTCTATTACACTAAAACAACCAAGCTATGTCACAGAAGTAGTCTCCAGCAATTATTCATTTCCCTGGCTTAGAGGTTCCATACAACGTATAATTTAGATTGTTCCGAGTTTTAAAGGTTTTGGCAAGACCTCATTAAAGCTCTCGGTTAAATGTGGATAGAAGGAGAAATACTTGATTTTCAAAAGTGCTCTACTGGGCTGAAGGAGAGCCAGCCAAGAGGATACGTTGAACGACACCTGGACTAGGTACCATTTCTTTGGCATATGTAAGAAAACATAGCATGTGGTTGAAAGATGATAAAGCTAACAATGGAGGACTGGGTTCATGAACCTGTAAGCATGGGGTTTTTTTGAGGAAAGGGAAGAAGTCTATGCAAGGAGAAAGGCGATCCATTTTTCCACCTGGCAAATTCTTTTCAATATTCATAGAACAAACACAGAATTAACTTAGAAATTCATGACAGGTTACGTGATAAAGCTAACAATGGAGGACTGGCTTCGTGAACCTGTAAGCATGGGGGTTTTTTTGAGGAAAGGGAAGAAATCTATGCAAGGAGAAAGGCAATCCATTTTTCCACCTGGCAAAGTCTTTTCAATATTCATAGAACAAACACTTAGAATTAACTTAGAAATTCATGACAGGTTACTTCAGCAGACAATAAAGCTCATATCATTTACGTATGCAACAGAGAACAACTCTCTGAAAATTAGCCAAATTCAGCTTCTCTAGGCTCAATTTCTTCAAGGGTTTCTTTTGATTCTAAGTGAAGCATTAAAAAGACTCCTGTAACTTGTCAGAGACTTCTTTCACTCACGTTATTCAGAGCTAACTCTGAAGTACTGACAAAGAGAGATTTCTGAGCAGAGGGTAATCAGAGGGAAGGACGAAGAGGTCTATACCCTTCTGCTGCCTCACCTTGTCTTCTTCTGCAACAACCTCTTTGTTTCTCCTACCCTCTCTCAATGCAACTGTTTGTAATGCTAAATAACAGATAGTGCTTCATCCATCTGTCACGGGAAGCTTCCACATAGCATAGAATCATAGAATATCTCAAGTTGGACCCCCCCATAAGGACCTTTCTGAGCGGAGGGTAATCGGAGGGAAGGACATGGAGGTCTATACCCTTCTGCTGCCTCATCTTGTCTTCTTCTGCGACAACCTCTTTGTTTCTCCTACCCTCTCTCAATGCAACTGTTTGTAATGCTAAATAACAGATAGTGCTTCATCCATCTGTCACGGGAAGCTTCCACGTAGCATAGAATCATAGAATATCTCAAGTTGGACCCCCCCATAAGGACCAGCGAGGCCATCTCCCAACTCCCCGCTGCAGTAACTA